CTATGCATATTTGAGTGGACTGCCCGTTCTCACGCATAAGCACGCAAGTTATTTTGTGAGACGGATGTTTTGTACCTCGGTGTACCTCGGTGTACCATTTTGTACCGTGTCGCGCTGCTAATACTGTCACAAATCAAAAACGAGCAGATGATTTTTTTTAAATCGGAATAGCGAAGAGTGATAACAGAAATGAGTGAGTGGGCCGAGCGGGGTTCGAACCGCGTTCCTCCGCGTGGAAGCCGAACACGTTGCCGATTCCCCCACGCACGCTGCAATGCACCACACAAAAGTCAGTCTGCAGTCACTAGGGAGTTTTAGGGAACCGTTTTTGCACATCCCATACGATACGATGAGCCCTCCGGTACGAACTGCGCATGCGCTGTAGCAGAAGACTCGCATACGCGCAGTCAGTACCGGAGAGCCCATCTCACCGTATCGGATGTGCGAAAACGGTTCCCTAAAACTCTCAGTTGATTCTACATAAAAGTAGAAAAAAGAAGAAAACACTTTTTGCAGACATGTTTGAGTATACGAAGCGAACGTGCTACAGGCGTGGCTGGGGCCCGTCTGCAAATAATTCTGTTATGACGAGCTGTTATGACGCGAAACGCGTGCGAGCGCTCGTTTCGTGGAAGCTCGCGGTTCAAAGCCGCCATCTTATGCACTCTTTGCAGTCCTCTATAATCTCCCCTTGTCAGACAGCAAAACAAAAATTAATGTCACTTCCGCCGAATGGCACCCGCGTCCGAATCTCATTTGTTCGCTGCCACGCGGGAACGTTTAATGGCATTAGCTGACAGTGACATTCGCTGCAAGAACGATTTCGGCGGGAACTCGCTCCTGCACTTTGCTCCCGCGGGCTAAGAGACCGAGGGAAGAGAAGCAGCGTGAAATTGTGATAACAAAAGTGCAAACAAAATGCGTATACCATGTGCTACTGCTACGTATGTAGTACATAATTTTTGTCAAGTTCAAATATATTATATAAAAAATATTAAAGGTCATGTCCATATAATAAAAGAATAAAACAAACTACTTATGTTGTTGGCTTTCTATAACAAATTTGGATGTGAGGGAAAAAGCGGTTTTGTGTTACGATAGCCATGTTAATATATGACGTGGTTGGGTTGGGCGACGAAAAATAAAGTAGATAGTTTCATCATAACTACTATAAAAAAAAAGTTGAGCCAAGGAAAAAAAGCAGAACTATTGGCACGAACCTCTTGAATGCTAACACCTTCCAATCGGCAAACGAGGTGGCTTACTATTTTCCCCCAACTTAGCTACGTCAGAATTCAGCATGGCGGCCGCCACACCTTTCCAGCGCCTACCACCCAGGCGAAAAAATGCTGATTCAGTGGGCTGTAGTCAAGCATTGCTGAGGCGTACACACGGTTTGCAGACTGGCGCCCAAACAAAGCGTTTTTCATACACTGTGGCCAGACTAGCTCTCGAAGCGCGGAGCTGCTTGCAAACGTCCACAGTTCGAAGTTATAACGCATCCAACCATTGCGATTGGTGATGCAGCGCTCGCGTGGACCAGCGCTGCATGTTTTTGTTTTTCTAGTTTTTTTTAAACGTATTTTTTAAAACAGGCAAGTCAAATTATTTCTTTTAATTACGTATTGATCTATGTTAGTTGTGCGTAATGTTATTGTTGAAACCATTTCGAACTTCCAAGTATCTTTTCTCTTTTCTACACAACTGGAACCAACAAATGGATAATTGAGAGACAAGCTCCTGCCACTCTTTTCACTTTGGCTTGCTTATTTTAACCTGTAACAGGGTATGCGCAACACGGCTATGCGCCGAATAAACCGAGGGAAAGAAAAAGGCGAGACTCTAGAGCGCGATGACCTCTAGCTGCTTGAAATGACTCGTCGAACGCCGGCGTCCGGCGTTTGCCTCTGCATTCGAACGCGTTCGACAAGTGCAGTGGCCAGCAATAGATTTAGGCCTACCATAGCCTCCTCTATACTCACAAAGCCTGGCAGTTCGACGACGGAGCCATAGAGTGCCCCTTCGCACATTTGGAGTGCGAGGATCTGGTAGCACAGAGCGTCAAAGGGCCATTCCTCGGGGAACCTGGACGTCAGCGCACAGCTTTTGCAGGTGCGAGGATCCAAAACACACTTGTTCGCTCGGGAGAAGTGTGTTTCGGTGTCTCGCCGCAGCGGGGCGCCAGTCACGTGGCTCTCCTCTCATCCGTTGTCTGCCGCCCCACCTTTTCTATTTCGGCGGCCGCTTCTCGTGGCGTTCTGCCAGGCTTAGTCTGTATAAAGGAGGCTATGGGTTTACCCACTAATCACTCCAACCGGAGTTCAGACCCCCCGTGCTCTCGTCTCCCTTTCTTTTGCGGGCACGCGGAAGAGGCTTACCTGTGCTTCTAGCGAACACGTAAGCTTCGCCATTTTTAAACTTCTGTTTTTTGCTGGGGCAGACAGCGCCTTCCCCTGGCTCGTGTCTGCCCGACAAAACATTAAAAATTTTGCATAGGTAATAAGTGCTTTATTGGCACGAAACAGGTGCGCACACGGCACCGTGCCAGGAAAAGCAGGTAGGTAAAAATCCTTACGCCAGAGCGCCTGCTAGCCTACCGCCGTCTGTGCTTTTGAGTATCAAGAGACCTGCCGAGACCACTAATCATACATGGTCAAGAGCGCACCATCAGGGTGATTATCATGTTTCTGTACATGTTCTACCATCGCTGAACGAATAAAACAGAAAAGGCCCAGTGACTTGCGCTTTTGACGCAGCTTAATTGGTCACATTACTGTACTTAAGCTGAAACGAAGAATAGAATAAAACTGATGTGATGATGTTTATAACTAGAGAGGGAAAGGGTGAAACGGATAGAGGGGTAAAAGTTAGGATTATGGCAACAGGCCTGCATGACGTAAATCTGCTAACACCACAGGCAGCTGAATGGGAGCCATGGGTACGCAAACGGTTCAGCCTAAAGCGTTAAAGGGATGCTGAAGCAAACATTTCGGTGTCTATAAAGTGGCGCACTATCTTTCCATGAGTGAGCAGCCGCCGGTCTGCGCGAGCACACGCAACGAAATTGACGTCATTATATTCCCCATTCAAGCTTATTAAGCGCGAATGGGGGATATAATAGACAGTTTTAGTATAGCGTTGCTGGATCTTACGTACGCAATACGCAATAGTATAGCGTACGCTAAAAATGACCTGTTCGGACCGAATTTAGTTGTGCGTTACGTTTTCTAGTGAACACCGCGCATGATCTTAATTAAATTTGCTCGAGCCGTAGAATTCCGCGTGCTTATAGCGCAACCATGCTCCTGAAAAGAAATATTGAAAAAAGGAAAAGTGTCCAATCATTTTATTTCAGATTAAACCAAGCCACAGCTGCCTCGTCAAGTGCGCTTTTCTGCGGGGTACAGAGGCTACGAGTACGAGTGCGTAGCCAAGTTCGATCACGGAGCCTCCGTCAGTCGTTCCGTGGAAACGGCACCTTTTATCAATGCTATCGCGGAATGAAATTCATGACCCTGATGTCCAGTGCATAGCGAGAACTTCGGCGATTTCGTTTAGAGTTGTTCGTCCGTCGGCGATGAACTGTGGGAATAGGCTTAGCGTTGAGCAGATCGCAGCGTCGACGCACACTGCGAGCGGCGAACATTTCCACTGTGCACTCCTTCAGCTGCAGGGCGATCTGATTCGACCGCGGTAGGTCCCAGAAAGAATCGCCGAGCTGAACACGCAATTTCACGTAACATAGAACTTCGAGAACACCACGTCGCCCTTGCTGCGCCAGTCGAGGCAACCGCCATCTTGAAACTGGTGCTCTCGTTGGGTCCGAGATCTCTCGAGAGCGTCCCGCAAGGCCCGCTAGCCAGCAACGCAAAATCCCCAGCGTTGCGTGCGTACGCAATACGCTAACCCTTCTATTGCGTTCTGCGCATGCGCACTCACGACTCGCAATCTTCTTGCGTACGCAAAGCTATAGCGTGCGGTCCACTAAAATTGTCTAATAACGTCAATTTCGTTGCGTCAGCTCGCGCACACCGGCGGCTGCTCACTGATGGAAAGATAGTGCGCCACTTATTACAGACACCGAAATGTTTGGTTCAGCATCACTTTAACTGAAAGTGCCATTGTTTGTTTATTGTGGGCTGCCGAGACAACACCTCCTTGATTGTAAGGCCGTGGTCGTGAGTGACCTGAGTTCCCTATGGAAGGCCGACGCGGGGCACAAATTCGACCCCAACGCTGCGCGTCAGTGTTCCTCAGAGGCTCGTGTTCAATCTGTGGGAACGCGAGTTTTAGCCCGAACGTGCTGACTCAGCACCGACGCCCGGTCTGTGGCCCGGCCTCTTGTATGTGACGTCAGTACTTCGGCCTTGCTGCCTATGAGCTGTTGGCCGAGAAAGGAGGAAACACGACAGATGTAGGCCTTCATTTAGAGACGAGGCCTAGAACCTGACACCGTGGAACATAGAGGGTGCGAGCTGTCATCATCGCGCGATGGCGGTTCACAACTTTGCCAGGTGATATCGACCTGACGTAGTCACGTTTTTGGTCAGTATACGTAATTACTGCTAGCGGTTCACCACCACTATTATGTAAAAATATATAACAAAAAACACAACCAAAAATATATATATATTTTTTTTTGCGAGGTTTAATTTTTAATTAACTTTGTCGGGATAAAATGGGAGCATTTATATTGGCTGCACTATAAGTAGTTGTAGTAAGCGTTAAAGAGAAAAAAAAGCATAAAACCTGGTGGCCGCTCCTACATCGCATTAACCGCATTTGAGCAGAAAGACCACTCCATGTAGCGAACATGCTGCGAACAAGCAACGAATTTCGCCTGGCTACGTTTGCTCTTCGCACTACATCATGCGCTGCGCGCAAAAGCGAACGCCAAGCGAAATTCGTCGGTTGTTGGTCGCATATTCGCTCCACGTAGTGCAGCCTGTAAACTATGCTGACATTTTTCGCTCAGGACTTCAGACGTGCCATGTACTTACCCCATCACGCTCGATGCAGGTGGCCAGCAGATAGTCCAGCTGCCCCTGGTAGTCTTTGCGTCACTGAATTTAGTCCATGGGTGCTCGCAGCAAGTCCTTCTGCGCAGTCATCGGCAAGAAATACCTACGCGTCTGGGCGACCTTTGTCAGGGACCGAACGTTCTCCGTAGCAGCGGTGCGGCGAATTCCAGTGATGGATGACTGACTGACAGCGAAGCAGTCATCACTTGCCACCCTGTATTGTGTTCTCTCATTGACGACTACGAGACGACGAATGGTCGTATCCTTGGAGGTTTTCTCCGGGGAGGAGCCCGCGCTCAACAGGTTTTGTTTTCAATTATAGGGCAGAGCGGTCTGTTTTCCATTTTGTTAAAACACCTCTGACTGGGTGAGCATACCTGAAGGAACCAAAATACAATGCCCCCCCCCCCCCCCCTCTTCAAATAATAATAATAAAAAAAAAGAAGCTATTTCTAAAATAAATTACGCAATGCCGAAGAAATGTAGCGTTATCAGTCCGAAAGGCCAAAGTTTCGGAGCAATCGTTATATTGTTCAAACGTTAGGTGACTTTCGGTAATTTTCGATTTACAACTGACGGACATGACGTCCATTGAGGCTCACTAACTTCCGGCTGTATTATAAACATACACGGAAGATTATAATTATCATTATTCAATGAGAGAATGGCGGCCGACGGAGCTTTGGAATGCTAAATGGCGCCAGTTACTGAAATCAGACAATGAAAAGTTCTGTAACTTAAACATACTGTTGCAAACCACTTAGTAGCGCTACATTTGCGAGAAAATCTGGCGTTCGGCGACGCGAAGTTTATTTTTCCGGCGAGAAAAACATGGTTCTCTTCTCTTCCACTCATGTCATCCACATACGGTTCTTTTATCTTCTACATATACATTAACGGAGTGTTTACAAACAAACCCCCGTTTGCCCACACAGGTTGTGGGCACTGCGCGTGCGCAGGACCCAGATCCGGGAGAAGTGTGGCGTCTGCGCATGCCCAGTGCCGACATCAGCACCACCGCAGTCATGTGACGTCGAAGGGACTTCCACAGACGGTTCTCTTTTCTTCCACATATATCTTAAAACACGTTCGACTGAAATAATAAACTCTGATCGAACTAAATTTCGGGCCAAGCTTGTTTTGTGTCTGCGTCGCTTGGCTGCTAGCTGTCTTGTTTCCTTTGCTTTTCGCAAGTTCCATATACGAGTGACCCAGTGCCTGCCGTCTCCTGGACCGCCTGTAGTGATGTACCGTAAAACCTCGTCTTTTCTTTTTTACTTGATGCCAATAAATGTTTTTGTTTTTTTCTCTCAGTGTACAAAACCGGCCTCAGGACAACATATTTTAATAATTTTGTTATAAGATAAAGACAAACTCTACAAGCCATACAAGTCCAGTGTTCGAGAGATGCTATGCAAGTAAGCTTCTAGCTCCTAACTGGGAATTTTCTTACCATGCTAAATCTACGTGATATCGAGGCATATTTCGCCTCAAGTTTCTCCTTATTCATTCTGTTGATTTGTGAACCCCCCGAAAAGAACCGCTTTATAGACCAACCGAAGAAATACTGAATATTGCCATCCCCTGGCATCACCGCGGGGAGATTCACTACTCGGTTCAACATTCAAAGGCAGACTTGCTCCTACAGCACCGATCAGACGAATTCGAGCCAGTGGACGCGCACCCCCCGCTCTTCTGCGCCAAAGAACATTGCACCCTTGTAATTCATTCCACTGTTTACAAAAATGTAAGAGTTCAACAGTGCGCGCTTGTCGGCCATATGTTTAATTTTTATTTTGCCATGTGATCAGGTGGTCCCTCTGAACCCGCTACCCGATGTCGGCAGCAGGAGAGAAGAAAAAAAAGATCTAGCGGCGAAGAATTGGACAAGGGCAAGAACGAACTGACGCTTTTTCAGGCGTTCTGTAGCGAAGGAAAAATATAGTGCTAAAAATGTAACCTGCCTTCGCCAACTTGTTGGCAGAGCGGGTTTCTTACGGGAAGACACTCTTAAAGAAGATTTAATTGGCGTGATTAATTAAGGTGTCCCGTTGAGGAAGGTGGGACGTGCAGCTGCACTGGGTGCTGGGATAACCTACCTAACCTACCTACCTAACCTACCTAACCTACGCTAGTGAGAAGCTGAAAAGAAAGCATATGCCCCCGTCCCCCAAACGGGCCTTGAAATTGATGTTTCAATAAAAAATAGAAATGAATAAAAGGCAATGAGCTTGAAATTATATTTGATCTTCATGTTTCGTCCGATTCGGAAGCGCACTTTCTTAGCTTTCTTGATTAGGTGCGAAGGTACACCCCCAAAAAAAGTTCTTGTGAAAGCGAGGAATGTGGCCTCTTATAAGGGAAATCTTTGCTTCATATCAGCAGTGATAAAAGACCAAAACATTTTTGTTATGTTTCAAAGCATTCTTCTTCTAGTCGCCGCAAACTCCACTGCCGTCATATGTTCCACTAGTTCCCTTGCGTTTTATTATGTCCACTTTAGTTTGATTTAATTATATGTATTTTAGTGAGGATAGTTTGTTATACTTTGCCTTGAAATTGCTATTCTTCACCCCATAAATGTTTCGAAATACCCGTTCTCTATATGTCTGGGATCAAGTTCCGCATCCCATTCCGCATCCCAATCGCATTCCGAAATTCTCATAAACGTGTTGATATGTCACCTAGAATATTACCTCATTCGACACCGTGTAATAATTGTACTTGTAAGCCTTTGCCATGCGATAATTCTGTGAAATATCTCGGATTATACGTGGACGAACATTTATCATGGAATCAACGTGTGGAATTTGTGACTAAAAGACCTACGTGCCGTTTCAGCATATCTGTACAGAATAAGAAGCTTGTGCAGCGTAAAGATAAGACTACTGGTGTACAGGTCGTTAGCGGAATCAATTCTACGATATGGAATCACTTTATATGGGCACTGTTCTCCATACAAGACAAATGCAGTAGCCAGAATTTTAAAACACATGGTGAAAAACATTACATACGGAACTCCGTACGGAACATTAGATATGAAAGATAAAGCAAAGAAGCTCCAAATTTTAGTCTTTAAAAATGTTCATAGATATGTTACGTTTATAAATTATTTCTACGATTCAACGTTCAAGGTTCCAGGGGACAAGCCTAGGGACCTAAGGCGCAAAGAAAGGTTTCAAATCCTCAGAATTTACACGCGATACGCAAAAAGATGCAGAGATCACTTTATTCCCACCTTATTTATTGAGCTCACTGAGCCTTTAATGAAAATAAATTCGATAAAAGTACTAAAAAAAATAAATAAAAAATCGGTGCCTCTCATTACCTCCATAAACACTGCTTTACTCCCATCACTGTATACTTGCCTCTTAATGATTTCGATAGTTGTGTTCATTTTGTTTTGTGCCGAATTTTGGCTCTGTTTTGTATTAATATATGTATCAATGGCCACATTATACTCGTTCGATTTTTTATCATGATGTATTGATATGCATTTCGCCGGATTGTCTGGTCCTAAGCACAAGCAGGATACTGCTTTTGTAGGCCAGAATTTTTTATATGTATTTGCACAGTGAATAAAAACATTATTATTATTATTATTATTATTATTATTATTATTATTATTATTATTATTATCATCATCAAATAAGCATGAATGAAGAAATATTGACTATTTTATTTATTTTAGCATTGTCTACCCCGCAAACATTCCTCCCGAAAGCATATAAGTTGGTGATAGTTTGCGCTCCTCCATTTTCACTTAAATTGATTTTATATAAAACATTAATCAGACCAAAGCTGGAATATGTAGCCTCTATCTGGGGATCCCGGTCACGATACCCTCGTCATGGCACTAGAGGCTATTCAAAATCGCTCAGCTCGTTTCATCCTGTCGAACAATCATCGCACTGCTAGTGTCACATCGATAAAAAGTAGTTTATCTTTATAATCTCTCTCTCTCTCTTCGCCGTAAAATTTCACGGTTATGTTTATTTCAGAAAATTAATTTTCACAATCGCATCTTACACGATCAAATGATAACTCTCCCCTTTTGCATTTCGTCTCGTGTTAATCATCAGCATTAAGTTGGAGTCCCAAGGTCAATAACATTTCACTCATCGTTTCTTCTTCGCACAGCACAAGAATGAAAAAACTTCCCCGGTTTAATTGCTACCATCACAAACACTAATCTATTTCGAAAGGTTTCGAAAGGTAACAGTTTTATCTAATGATTCGCGACCTGTTTGATTGTTTGTTTGTTATATTATTGCTATAGCTAATTTGTTACAATTTTTCCTCTCACCTTTTTTATCTGCTCTCCCCCTCTATAATGCATTCGGGCTCTGAGGCCCGGGTATGTTCAAATAAATAAATAAACAACACCGGAAAATTCTGGCAGGTGTTAAACCCGAAGGAGACGAACACCATTGCACTCACTAATGAATTCTTCAAAGTCGTCAGCGATGCTGAATGTGCACACAACTCGCGTGTCACTTCCTATATACCTGTCTAACATACCGATACCAATGCCTGCCACCACGTTCGTTGCAGATGGTAATTCTTGTGTGATTTAAAACATTTTTTCATCATCAGCCGGCGTAGATGAGATCAACTCAAAACTTAAAAGGAAAAGTAAGTTGCTGACGAATATTTGTGTTTAATTTTCTCTAAGTCACTTTCCACAAGCAGCATCCCAGAGGACTGGAAAATGGGAAAGGTCGTTCCAGTCTTCAAATCAGGTAACAAAGATTCCCCAATAAATTACCGTCCCATATCTTTAACAAGCGTGCACTGCAAAATCATGGAAGACGTCATCGACTCTCAAATAATGAATTTTCTAAACCCAGATAAAATTTTTTTTTCATCCTTTACAACATAGATTTCGCATGGGATTCTCTTGCGAAACTCAGCTGGTCATCCTCCCCATGATCTGCATATTAACCTCGACCGTAACCTTCAAACTGACGTCATTTTTCTCGATTTTGCGAAAGCCTTTGACAAAGTACTCCATCAGCGTTTGCTTTTAAAGCTTTAACAATTGAATCCAAGTCCCGATATCTTAAATTGGATCAAAGAATTCTTTGTTCCTTGTTAAAAACCACTCATCAGACTTTGTTCAGTACTTGTTCAGTACCCCTTCCAGCGCCATCCAGCGTCCCCCTAAAATCGGTCCTTGGTCCCC